TGTGTCAGCCCCAAATAACACACAGAGACACTATATTAGATATAAAACCATTGGTCTGTTACTAGCATTTCTTTTTGGCTAGCCCTGTCTTAAATATTAACCCACTTCTATCAACCTAAGTATTTCCACATGGTCTTATCTTACCAGAGAGAGGGTCCAGAGTTGTTCTCTCTCGGTCCTACATATTGAATCTCCTCCTCCCTCTCCCCAAAACCTCCTTGTCTCCTAGTCCCACCTATCTTGCTTTCCTATTGGCCAACAGTGCTTTATTTATTAACCAATAAGAGAAACATATTTACAGAATGACATCTCCCATCAGTTAAGTAGGAATAAAACAGCATTTGCCTTATAGGGTTGCTGTGAGGGTTAATATGAGAAATGTTTAAAATACTAAGCACTCATCAGGCTCACTGGTCAATACTAGGTCTTTTTTTCTTTTTTCTTGTTTTTTTGAGACAGGGTTTCTCTGGGTAGCCTTGGCTGTTCCCAAACTCACCCTATAGGCCAGAGAGGCCTCAAACTGACAGAGATCCATCTGACTCTGCCTTCCAAGTTCTGGGATTAAAGGCATTCACCACCACCCACTTCAAAAGTAGATCCTGGTGGCATGGTTAGTGGCAGGAGTACAAAGGACAGCTCTCCAGATGTGAGGGTTAGGGTCTCTCCAACAGGCCAGAGACTCTGCCACACTGAAGCACAGGCTAAGGACAGCAGGAGCACAGAAGCAGAATGAAAAACTGTCTTGATATCACTTTCATCCACATGCCTGCAAGTCTCTACAGTGAGTGTGGATGGCAGTCTCTAGAATAAGCAGGACACATCTAGGGTTGTAATTTTAAGAGAATCACTGTTGTCCAGAGCAGAATGGATAGCCTTAAGAACTACATGTCTGTTCTTTTGAGCCAGCTTGAGCACATTTTCTTTGCAGTTGCTTTTTGTTTGAAGTTGTTGGCTGCAGCTGTTCTTAGACAGATGTCTCTGTGGAACGAAGGGCATAGTAGATGCTGTCACCCCAGGGGGACCAGGGCAGGTGCTATCTGCTTCATACCTGTTCTTTCTGCTCCATTCTGTTCCACTGGGGATCAGAGTCTGCATTCTTTGGGCTATCTCAGCAGCCGGCCTTCCATTAGGCTTGCCCACTGGGGACGCAGTGTGGAAGATGAGGTAAGAGGGAGAGAGAGCTGGAGAGATGGCTCAGCGGTTAAAAGCACTGGATGCTCTTCAGAGGACCTTGGGTAATTTCCAAGCACCCACATGGCAGCTCACAACTGCCTGTAACTTCAGTTCCAGGAGATCTGACACCCTCACACAGACATGCGTGCAGGCCGAACACCAATGCACATAAAACTATATATATATAAAATTATATGTGTGTGTGTGTGTTTGTGTGTGTGTGTATTTAAAAAAAAAAAAAAAAAGAGGAAGAGAGGTGCCTGGCTTGACTCACATTGCAGCAGCAGTGGTGGCTGCCAAGCGGCATCTGGCAGTGTCTAATAGTGACATACAGGTCTCAACCAAATTTACTCTGAACAGCATTCAGTTTGCTCATTCACCCTTCGAGCGGGGAGTTGACTGGACCCAGGTAGGTAGAGAGGCCTGGCTGGGCTATCACAAAGCCTTGCTTAAACAGTGGCCCGTGCCTCAAGACATGGCAGTTTGGTGCTGAGTAGGCGTTCAGACAGCCAAGTGTTATCTTTTAGGGGCTGGTCTATAAATCACATCAAGATCTTGTTCACTGCATTCTATGTTAGAAGTCACTGATGCCAGCTCATATTCAAGGAAGAATTCAATGCCGCCCACTGGTGGGAGGAGGGCCAACATGTATGAATATTTTGAAACCACCAGTCAGTAACTTTAGCAACACAGCAGCAGGTACGGGCCTGTTGGTTCCAGCCCAGAGGTGCTAGCAGCTTCCTTGCCTTCTGCATGTCACCCCTCTCCTCCTCTAAAATACTCTTTTGTTTACTGGACCTCCAATGTTTGGGAACTAGTACCAAACTCTATCTGATACACCCAGAAGTTTTTCTCTTTTTCACAAGACTCTGACAGATACATCTGGTTTTATTTGTGGTTATGCTATCCAAACTCACCATCTGTATGCACTAGCAGATGTTTGAAAAAAATATTGTGTGCTACGAAACACATTAGGTGCTTTATGGATGCCATCTCCTTTAATGCTGACACCAACCTGGTCATACTGGTACGAGGCTGGCTGACAATATTGTGGTCACAAAAACACTGGGGCTCCTCAGGTAGAAGAGCCAGGATACAGCTATGAAGAGGCGGAGCTGGACCTACCTCAGGTCTTCTGGGTTGAGAAGGAACTTCCTGCCTAAAAGTTTTCCTCATGGGACACTTCATTTTTCATCCTTATATACCTGCTTGATGAGTTCCAACTGAGATGTAAATCTGCTGCTTGGAATACATGGAGAAACAGGCTAGAGTCCAGGGCAGGTTCACATGTTCATGACTAGTAAACCTGTGGGTTGTATGGGAAAAGGCAGGGGACGGAAGTCCAGAGGCCAGGGCCGGCGTCCCAGCTGTTGCTTAGTTGGGTCATGACCTTAGGCTGCATCTTCCTCTCAGGAGACCTCAGTTCCACATCTGGAAAATGAACCTGAATTCCAAGTTCTACTGAGTGCACAGGTTTCTGTAGGATGGAAGAGGCTTCACCGGATATGGGACAGAAGGTGCAAGAGCTCAGGAAGATTCGGACTAGCCTGAGGGGGTTCCCTTTGCGTCTTATAAACAGCAGGGATCATATTAGCTTCCTGTGGGGCAGGGGGGGGGAGACCACTGATGTCATGATATAAAGACAACAGCAGGAGTGGCACTGGAAGAAACAGGCGGCTTACAGTGCAAACATGAGCACCAGGGACCATCTGGAGGAACGGTGTGCTGCCATCCCCATTTTAGGGGAACCACTGTTCACAGAGACTAAGCAACTTCCCTAAAGTCTTACAGTTGGTAGTGAAGCTTTGTTCAACAGAGTTTACTCATATGCTAAGTATGTCCGCTAATTGTCAACCTGGCATAAGTCATCTGGGAAGAGAAAACCCCAATTGAGAAGGTGCCTTCATCAAACTAGCCTGTAGGCAAGTCTGGGGGATATTTTCTTGATTGATGACATGGGAGGGCCCATCCCTCTGTGGGCAGGCAGTCCTGGGTGCTGTAAGAAAGTAGGCTGAGTAAGCCATGGGGAGCAATACAGGAAGCAGCTCCCTTCCATGGCTTCTGCTTCAGCCTCCAGTTCCTGTTCTGACTTCCCTGGATGCTAAGACTATAAACGGAAATAAGCTCTTTCCTCCTCAAGTTGGTTTTGGTCATGGTCTTTTATCTCAGCAATAGAACATTAAGGACAATAGAACAATAGGACATTAAGTATATGCCACGAGGCTTCTAAATTTAGGTTGGAATGGGACAATTCTAAGGTGGAAAACCTAACTGTCAGGAATCACAACAGAATCGAAGGGTCAGCACTTAAGTTCTGAGCAATAGAAACAGTATGAGGTGGGCAGGGGACCTGACACTACAAAGACCCTGAGGTTTGATGAACAGACAACCACTTGTGGTGAATGATTAAGTGCTTACTGGTGTCCTTCCTCCTCGGTTCACAATTTTCATGCCATCTAATCCTGGGAGGAAGCTGCCTCCCATAGTAAGATAAGCAGCTCAGGGATGAACTCATCAAGCTGGTTCCATCTTTTGGCCGATCAGTCAGACCAGGACCAACAGAGCTTTGTAGGGCTCTTGGAAAGCCAGTCCTCCTCTCTCCCTTTTACAGAGACAAGTTCTTACTATGGAGCTCAGGATGGCCTTGAACTCATGATCCCTGGCTCCAGTCTCCTGGGATAACAGGCCAATGCCACAACTGGCTGGTAATATGCTTTTCTGAGAGCTTTCAAAGAGTCTCTGTCTTCCCAGATGTGGATGGCCCTTGAGCTGTCATTAGCAGTCTGCTAATTAGTTGGGGAGCAGCCTTAGTGGGACACCTTAGTGGGACACGAGAGAGCAGAGGTGAGGAGACCAGGGTGAATCTGCCTGTACTGCGTTGCTGGGTCTCATTACAGCATGGCAAAGTCAGCAAAGGGTCGTCTTGGGCTCGACACCCAAATGTCACCTGGTATATACTTTCATAAAGAATAAATACAAATGTAGAAAAAACTAAACCTAATCCAGAAAATTCATGAGACAACTGTGAGCCCTAGACGACAAAAAACTCAGAAGGGGCTGGAGAGATTGATCAGTGGTTACGAGCCCCAGCTGCTCTTGCAGAGGACCCAGGTTCAGTTCCCAGCACCCACATGGTTCACAACCTCTGTAACTCTAGTACAGGAATTTGACCCCCCCCCATCTTCTGGTTTCCTTGGGTACTGCACACATATAGTGTAAACATTCACATAAAACCAACAAGGAAACAAAGAAACAAACCACACACACACACACACACACACACACACTATAATCCAAAGTAACAACAAAAATCCCCCCAAACCAGAAAACCACTGAGTGACTGGGGCACGGGGCACTAGGGAGAGAACCCACCTTATGCAGCTTATAGCCTTTCCATGCTGCAAGTTCAAAAATACAGTGGTACTTGTCATGACCCAGACTCTGTGCCTGCCCTCAAAGTCAGAACCCCTTCCCCCACCCGGATCATAAAACACCCTCTCAACTCTGTACACAGAGGACTTTTCTTGGGATGAAAAGTTCTTTTACATGCTTGGGTTGTACCTAAGTTAGTGTCTGACATGTGAATTGAAAAGCAAAAAACAAAACAAAACAACAACAAAAAAAAAAATCACATATTGCCAGGCACGGTGGTCCATGCCTTTAATCTCAGCCCTCAGGAGGTAGAGACAGATGGATCCTGGCAAGTTTGAGGCCAGCTAGGGCTACAAAGTGAGACCCTGTCTAAAAGCAAAATACAGAACAAAAATAAACCCTAAGTATGTATGATGCAAATCTTGGTCTCCTCAATTTCTAGCAGCCAGTCAGTGTGATAAACAAAGCTCCATCAAAAAGCACAGAGCCATTTATTCATAACCTACACATAATACAAACACTAGCCGAGTCAGGGTGCTTTTCTCAACCACCCTTTCCACATTTTGTTCAGTTTCCGTGAACTATAAATCACCGACTTCTTCACACCTGCAAGAGAAAAGAAGAACAGGTGAGCAGATGCATCCTGTTCAGTAGACGTGTGGCTAGAACACCAGTGCAACTCTGACTGGAGGCTTGTCTTTGGGACTGACTGGGCACTTGAGGACCTGGTGCTGAAGGCTTTTAAAGACCAAGAGAGACCTGTAACGGAGAGTCTGAGCTGGGCTTCCCGGGATAGCAAGTCTCTGAGGTATGGGGTACTGGCAGCCACTGAGTTTCACAAGTCTTTTAGAAGGGAGGAGCACCTGCACCCCGTCGTGACCCACACATGCCTACTGCCTGCCTAGAGCAAATACTGTTCTATTTCCTGCTTAGTGCACACACCAGATTGCTCTCATGCCCGGCGCCCATCTCTCACACAACATTTACCACACTGTACAGTGTTTGTAGCGGACTCCCCTGTCTCTCTGATTAGACAGACGGCTCCTCCAGGACAGTTCTGGTCACTCCTGTATTCTTTTCTCCCAGCAACACTCAGCAGGTACTCAGTTGAACCTTCTAAAGTGGCAGAGGGAAGGCTGGCCCTCACAGCCCTTTGATATCATCCCAACTCAAGACCCCAGAGAAGAGGCTTGCTGGGACTGTTGGGAAAGCACATACAATGGGATAAATGGTACGCTAGTGTCTCCAGCCCTGCCAGTGGATGTTATTAAGGGCCTGACTTCCTTGTGTTGAGGGTGAGGTCGCTCAGTGCTTTAGGGTGTGGCCTGAGGAGCTAAAGCCGTACACTGTGATCTGTGCTGTGGTTGGAAGCGCATGCTCCCGGCTGTGGGCTTGGCAAACACATTGGCAAGGGGACACAATTCATTCCAGGGAGTGCTCTTTTAAACTACCTGGCCCTGCTACTTGGAAGCTGCCTTGCCTGCTTGGAACCTTTGGCTACTGCAGGCGGTGACAAAGAGAAAGGCAGGGTTCCCAAAATCATTAGTGATGAGCCTGGATGTGTGCTCCTGGCTTGACATGATCTCGTTGAGAAACCCAGAGCTTTTTCACTGCCTCCACCCCTCTTAATTTTCTCCCTGGAGCGATGACTCTGGCTGGCCTCACCCACCTGAACACTAGGGCTGGGAGATCATTACATAAGGTGCTGTTTCAAATTCCAGCAGAACCAACCAGAAGGCTGAGCGGAAGCCAGGCAGTCACACATGCAAGAATCAGCCCAGGCCCAGGCTGCTGAGTCACGGCTGGAGGCCTTCAGAAAGCTTAGCTGCCAGCTTACGAGCTCCTCAGAGCTGGACTGGCAGGTAAATACTGAACATAGCTGAGCGGCCCTTCGTGCTACCTTCAGCTGCTTAGAGGATTAAAGGCCTCCCTTGCCTGAACACACTCCCTCCCTTCAGCTCTGCCAGAAAGACTGTAGCAGGGAACTGTGCTACAAACAACACAGAGGCTTGGGTTGTGGGCCCGCTGGACTAGGAAGGGTGTGATGATGACTCTGCCTTCTGAGCCTCCAGTTGCTCATCTGTAAGAAGCTATGCAGGTGACAAGGGCCTGCCCACAGACAGGCCTGGCTGTGGATCTGAGCTCCCTAAAGCTTCAGGAGGCTTGGCGGTGGCCATTTATGTGCACTTCCATGCAGAAGGGCCAGAGGTTAGAGTTTCAAGGGCTTTGTCTACAGCCGTACACCCCTGAAAGTGCTCAGTCACACCGGGCTTTCACGGCATCTGAGGTTTGCACAAGGTTAAGACCAAACATTAATTTCAACAAAGGTTGTAAAATCTCAACCAACAATTTCACAAAATTCAAGCAAGCAAGGCGTTCTTCAGAGGACATCGAGGGCTGTGAAGCACAGGGAACAGGTGGGTGAATCTGACTTGGAAAGGGAAAGCCCCACGAAGAATCTACGGAGAGAGCAGAGTGGAGCTCCAGGGTGGAGCTGTCTATATCACCCACACCCTGGTCTGGGGTCCAGGGGCTACCATAACTGAGGTGTGGGCTCAGTGCTCAGTATGCAAGGGGCCCCGGCCTAATAAACAAAGATGGGCTGAAAGAAGGGGGGGGGAATCCATCTCTAGGCCACACATTCAATTCAGAAAGAAAAAGCATCAACAAGCGTTTTCTCCAGAAAACACTCTTAAGGCAGGGGTGTGACTCAGCTGCAATTCTATATTCACACCTTCGAGGAGGAAGTCAGTAAGCCTCCAGATACTTGCAGTGAGCTTCCAAATGAAGGCCTTTCCACAAGGGAAAGGTTTTCTGAGGAAGGGATACAATTTAATTTGACAAGTTTTAGACTTAGCTGGGTGGGTGTGGCAGTATACATCTACGACCCTTGAACTCAGAGACCAAAGCCAAAAGAGCTGAGTTCAAGGTAGCCTCAGACACAGAGACCCCGCCGGAAAGGAAGAAGGGATGGATGGAGAGGTTAAGTTATAAACACATCATTAGAAAGATGACGTAAGAAGAAAATAATGATCGGCTCTACTGTGTTTCAGGAAAAGGGCTGAGAAGTAGCAAGGCACGCTGGGATTTTTTTTTTTAGGGACAAGACTAAACCTGCCTTGTTAATTCAGCTGAATCTTTTGAAGTGGGAGAGGGATATGTCCTTAGAGTTAATTCTGATTGACCATAAAGACAGGTGGGAAAATGAGGAGCCAGCCACCCCGGCCCCAACCCCTCAGAGTGCGGCCCTACTGCCTCCCAAGGTGAACTTTTTGAGTTGAGTTTGACTCCTGAAAGCTGACTGCAGCCTTGGGGCCATCTTTTGTGCGGCTCTGCCTTATCTCTCGGGCTGGTCACTGATAGTTACCTAACTGTCCCCACACCAGCTTGTTCAAACTGCTGCAGCTGTCTCTACCCTGGCAGAGAAACTTTGTAAAGGGCTGCTGCTCAGACAATGACAGCTGGCTTAGCTGGTCTTTTGTTAGCAGAGATGTGATACCCTCAACAGCAAAGTACTTTCTTCAGGGGTACCCTGGGGCTTCACTTAACCCGACGAGAGCCCTACCGCCCTGCCAACACCACCTAAGAGACTGAGAGCAGCCCCTACCGAAGAAACTTTCAGAGAAGAGGGGCACGATATTTCTGAGTCAAACTACGAGTGTTGTCTGATGGTGAGAGCTGCAAAGGGAAAGCCGTGGAGACAGAGCGGCCAGGCTGCATATCACACTGGACGTTTTCCAACACAATCTGGGGGTTGGTTATTGATGTCACAAGTCATAAGGCCAGAGGACCCACAGAACTGCAAGGCTCATCATTTTCTACGGTTTCCCACAGCCTGTGGACTCCCACAGTGCCATGTGGGATCCTTGGAAGGGAAGGTGGAGCCAGTCATTGTTCAGGGGAAGCAGGGCAGTGCTCCAGGGCCCTGAGGGAACCTGAGTGGCAGGTTCTGTTAGCACTGCCCCCTGCTGGCAGACTGGAGGAATCCGAGGACAGAGGACGGGGCTGGCTCAGGTTGGAGGTTATGGAGATAGGGCTGGGTGGGAATCATGCTGACATTTTTGCTCCTGAGGTCCAATCACTATTCAAATAGGAGTATGTGTAGGTTATTTTGGTGTGTCACATGATAATTCGGTTTTATATAGGCTGCTTTTCTCAGTAAGGCATTGCCACGACTTAAGTTACTTTTACTAAAGTCAGGCACATAATAGAACGAAATCCTTCAGTCTCTCCCTTGTTTGGGCCCACAGTGTCAAAAAATTTTAAGTGATGAGCAGTTTAGTTCTACTCCACTATGTACGTGTTTGGAGCAGTGAAGCTTCTCATTGCCCAAAGAAGTCCACTGAGGAAAACAGCTTGTTTCTTCCAAAATCAGCCAGCTCCAACATACTCACACACAAACTGAGATTAACAGAAATTCCAGCATTCAGCAGCTAAGGCATCAGGCTATACACCAGCTCCAGGACAGTCTCAGACCCAAGGAGCTGGTATAGGGTCAAAGGTCACTCAGTTTGGGAACAGCTTCTGTTCCAGTTCCATTAACACATGCTTCTGTCTCCCTTTCCAGTTCATGAGGCAAGATGGCAAATGCCCACTTTCATATCCTGAGTGAGCAACCAGCTTAGGACAGATGCTTAATGCATGGGTCTCTGAACAACGATGATGCTAACTAAGCGCTGGGGGAGGGGGGATTTCCCACACACTACTCATCAACAGCCATTTTCAAGAGCAATTTGGTGATATCTAAGGGTATATTTGACAAAAATGCTGGAAACAAAAAACAAAGGAGCAGGGGCCAGGAAAACCACCCAGTGGGAAAGTGCCTGTAAAGCGTGTGACACCCAATACCCCCTACACACAGACAGACTTGCAGGATCAGAGAGCAGAAGAAAAGGACCACAAGGCTAACACATGGGAGACAAGAGAGGGCAACCCCTGGTCTAGGAGCCCAGCATCTGGGGAACGGACTTCAGAAACAGAATAAGAAAACAAATGGGGAACGAGATTCCGGGTTTCCCCACTGAGAGTGTGGCCAGGAAAAGAGATCAAAACAATCACATCACAGCATGCCATTCCAGAGCCCCGAAGCTTCCAGAAAGAACACACACATGGATTAAGGAGCAGGATGGCTTTGAACTTCAACAGTAGTCTGGAAAGTGAGAGAATAATTGCAGTAATTATTTCAAAATTGTGTCGTTCCCGCCCCTCTCTGTTTTGCTCACTGACAGAGTCTTGCTATGTAGACAAGGATGGCCGTGAACTGAGTTCTTGGGTGCTGGGACTATGGTGTGGACCACCAGACTCAGTGACCTCAAGGCTGGAAGGAAAATTAGTTTTATTCTCTACCTGGCCTAAATGCTAACTGTGTGTAAGGACAGAGAGAAAAGGTTTCAAACACAGTCTCCAAACTCATTTTCAGGAGACTGCTCATCAAAAGGACACTGTTCACCAAGAGTGAAAGGTACAGACAAAGGGGACAACACAGAGTACCCCCCCCCCAGGGCAGCTGAGGAGGAAAAGCACACCACGTGCCTCCTCTCGGAGGCAATAATGACTTAGTCTAAACTGCAAGTATGGAGTAGCACTGAGACAGGAGGATGTGAGTGGGTGGGCCTGACAGGAGAGCAACAGACAAGGGACATAATTGGGTGCCCCAAGCACTGCCTTCCGATCACCCACGGGAGATGGCACCTAAAGCAGAAGCGGAGGATGGCAACATAAATCCACCACTCAGGAAACAGCAGGGAAAACAAGCCCCTCCCAGGGAACAGAGGGAGCAGCCAGCCAGGACTGCGGCTTTTGCGGTGCTTCGAAGTTACAACTTCAATGCAGGGTTGCCAGGACAAAACCCCACACAGGAGCTATCAGAGGGGAGAGGAGAGGCCACCCTCCCGCCAGCACTTCAGAGAGTGAGTGGCCTGGTAGATGTCCGAGGCACACTGCAGTCACAACTGTGTCTACAGGACTGCAGTGTCCGGGTGTTATGGTGGGGAAGCGTGAGGATTGCACAGGCACAAGGAAGATGCACGTGCAGTTTTGTATTTCCACCAACAGCACCGAAGCCATTCTGTCCAGCAGGCACACCCCAGACACCTATTTCCAAAGCTCTTACCAGCAGTAAAAAGGCCTTTGGTGCTCTGCCTGATGCTTGAAGGTCTGACTATTGACGAGACCCCTGCAAAACACAAAAACAAAAAGGATACCGAGAGAAGCCCAGACAGATGGTTGTCATCCTAGCAGTCTTAAAAAAAAAAAAAAACCCTAAAACTAGTTATTTCCAGTTATTCAACAGAACTGGTGGAGGAGTGCCGTTCCTGCTAGGGAGTGACTGTGAAAGGGGTGTTGAACAGAGGGTTGGGTACTGCAGAGGCCAGCTGTGCTCAGGCCCAACTGTGTGACCACTGGCCAAGGCCTGGGCTACTGTGCAACCCATGGGTGGCAGGCGAACTTCAAATGTCATCTTAGGAATTTAAAGCTGCTAACATCTTCTAGTTCTCAGTTCTAAGACGCAGGAAGATTTAAAGAAATGTTCTTTTTTTTTTTTTTTTTTTTTTCCTTCCCTAGGAGAAATGTGTCCACTGTAAAAGTAAATGAAGAGAATATGCTAAGACACAGGGTTCAAGTCCTCCATCACCTCAGGACAGCAGTGACCCAGCAACGGACCTGTCCTGGGCGCAGGGGAGTGAGTACATGGGCACACTCAAGAAACCTGGTGCAGGATCCTGAGAGAGGGAGAGAGGAGCCAGCCTTATGCTAATTCCCTACTGTAAACCACATTTCTAATCAATAAACATTTACCGAGGGAAAGCAGGAAAATGGACTCCTTTGAGATTTGGGGTCATTTTCCGTTTCCTCCCTACTGTCCTTTGCTACTCCAGAGAGCGGTGGGCCTCTTACAGACAGAGCCTTGCCTTGCTACTTAGCCTAGGTTGGCCCTGAACTTACTATGCAATCTAAGCTAGTCTCCTCATTGCTGAGACCACAAGTCTGCCCCACCACACAGATTTGAGTCTTGCTAAACATCAGGGAAGATCTAGAGTGAATTCAGAGAAACATGAGAGCCATCAGAGGGGAGACAGAGCCTGGGACCAGTCAGAGAAACTGAGAGGCCATCAGTCTCTCCTTCTCACACCACAAAGGACACACACATCTTTCAAATGACATCCAGAAGTTATGTTCTTGAAACCAAAGCATCGCCTCAACCACTGGCAGTGATTTAGGGCTCAGGATCCTGAAAAATTTCCCACTGCTTGTTTCAAGCAAGGGAACTCTGAGATGTGGGAATTGCTCATGCTTTTCTTCTCTCTATTGATCTCGTTAGGCAAGCAGGAAGAAAAAATGTGTGTGAAGGGCAGAGACTGCTTTCGCCGAAGCCAGCCCTTGCTCAACACCAAACCTGAGGACACACCTAGGCGCACCACATCACCACAGTCGGGGTCTTGAGCTACTTGCAGTAAGGTTTCCTCCACATCTCTGTTCCTCCCAGGAGGGTCCATGATATGATTGATTTGCTGCTGTAAGGTTCTGGGCAATGTCATTAGCTGAGTGAACTGTCCTTCTGGGCTTTTATCTATCTGGGAGAGAGAGAGAGAGATGACGTCTTTGCAAGCGCTCTCAAGTCTAGACACAGTCGGACACATGGCTTCTATTTAAAAATCCCACAGAATCTCAGACTATGTGGGACTCCCATGCATACATTTGTAATTAAATAAGGTTTTCCTTCTAACGGAAGCACCACATCTACCCCAGGTGGTATAGGAAACTGAGTATTTATGTGGTTAGGATTACAGGTCCCTTCAAAGAGGTGAGCCCTGGCTTTAGAATATTCCATTCTTCATGAGGAAAGAAGAGAAGCCTCTTAAACAATTTTTAAAAATTATTTTATTTTATGTATTGGTGTTTTGACTGCATGTATATTTGTACACCACATATGTGCTTAGTTCCTGAAGAGCCCAGAATTGGGTGTCTGATGCCCTGGAATTAGAGTTACAGACAGTCTGAGCTACCATGGAGGTGCTGGGAATTGAATCCAGGACCTCTGCAAGAACAGCTCTTAACCACAGCTCTTCAGAGGATCAGTTTCTGACTTGTAGTTTACACTGTTCAACTTGTCTTAAACCAGCAGCTCAAGGAGGTGGGGCTGCAGCTAACAAGTCCAGATCAAAACCAGGGCTCAGGTCCTCCTTCCCACTCTGAAGTGAGTACGAGGCAATGAGATCTGAATTTGTGGCCCTGCTCTGGGCCTCATCTATCCGGTGCCATACTTCACAAACGACTGCAGGGACCCGCCTCACTCTGAATCCTCCAGAACACAGAAGGTGAGTGGTTGTAACTGATCATCATAACTTAGTTGTCAAAAATTAGCCCCACTGCTGAGATGAGACCAAAGCAGTTCCCTAATAGAGTGAGTGTGTTTCACAGAATTAAAAATATAAGAACATGAAAACTACACATGAGTGTAGCTGCCTACGCCATACAGAGGCCGTTAACACCTTCACAAATGCTTCAGGAGCAGGTGGGATGGCTCAGCAGCCTGGTGCCCTGAGTCCCACCCCCAGGATCCATGTCATGATGGCAGGAGAGAACCAATTCCACAAAGTCATATGGGACCACACTCACATCATGCAAGTTCAGGGCCGTCCTGGTCTATATAGTGTGTTCCAGGCCAGCCAGGGCTATATAGTGTCTCAGGATGAAGGCATTCATCTGACTTGCTGTGGGTAGGCTGGTCAGAGGTGAAGACCTGGCCTCCTGCACTGAGCTGGAAGAACTCTGAAGGGTCTCTAGCTCCCAGCAGCTTCACCGAGGCAGATGAGACCCCTGGGTACAGGAGCATCCTACCTGAGATTGGCACTGGGAGTGTTCCCATGAGCAAACTCACAGTGTTAGAGCTGCCACTGAGAGCACTCTGATGTGTGACTCTCTGCCCTTGGCCAAAAAGCAGTAAGAAAAAGTAAAATCACATCTCAGGATGGAGAAATTACTGCGATCTGTACACACAGAAAATGTAGGGGTGCGGTGGCCATTTTGTGTACCTTGATTAATCGGCAGTGCTCAGCTACTTGGTCAAACACCACTCAAGATGTTGAGGAGAAGGCATTTTAAAGATGCAATTTAGCTCAGGTAGTATACATACAGATGAAATATGTTACTTTTGTTATCTTAAAAAACTGGTAACAGACGGTTGGTGAGGGGAATTGGAGGATGGGAGGGTGAGGGAACTGTGATTGGTATGTAAAATAAGCTTGTTTTTAATTTAAATAGAGATTAATTAAAATAAACTGGTAACAGTAAAAAGATAATTCATCTCTCAGCTGAAGTACAGGAGAAATGTCCATGGTCCCTGGAAGAAGGTAATCTGCCTCTAGACTCAAGGCTGAAGAGTCAACTCTTCCCTGGGTTACCAACCCCCTAGCTTGCCCTACAGATTGGAAACCTGCTGCCCCACAGATTCATGAACTAAAAAACTGATCTCTTTCCTACCACCCCATCCCATCACCCTAATGGTGCCATCTCTCTAGAGAGCCCCAGCAAAAAACAAGTGTTGATGGTCCCTGTCATGTCACCAGGGAGTCTGGCCTTTACAAGAACAAATGAGTCCTAGCGGGTTATAGTATACAACTATAAACCCAGCAAGCAGAAATCCTGACGAATTTGCAGCATCAGGTGTGGTAGAGAACCAATGGACTGTTTCCATTCTTGCTGGGAAGGAGACCAGAATCAGTGTTCACAGTTACTTCAAAGAAATAAGAGTTATTTTCTTTGCCTCAGGGATGGATTCATGTTTACAACCCTTGTGATGAGACATCTGAAGGAAACTGGAAACCTGGATATTCTGTTATGTCATATTTGTCTACAATATCAAAAGCAGAATGTCTTTCCCTTCTTTTTCTTTAAATTACATTTAGTTATTTATTGGTATGGGTACACATACCACGTCGGGCATGCAGAGGACAGAGACAACTTGTGGAGTTATGTTTGCAAGAAGTTTTTACCCTCTGAGCCACCTTGTCGGCCTGATCAATTAAGTAGTATTAATGGTCTAATAAATTGAATAGACAGTTCTCAAAAGATCTGGCTTTACCTTAATTACCTTAATTCCTGGGTACTACCTAAAGGACTCTAATACACCACAGGAACCTTTGGCATAGCTATCTTACCGCCACACTATTCACAACAACCAGGAAACAGAATCAGCCTTGTTGTTTGCTCACCAACAGATGACTGGGTGAAGAAAGTATAGTGCAGGGCTGGGATGTAGGCCCAGCAAGCAGAAAGTCCCAGGTTCAAGCCCTATATAAACTGGGCACGGTGGCACATGCCTACATTCTGACACTCAGGAGAATCGGGAACTTAGGGTTATTCTTGGCTATATAGGAACTTGGAGAACAGCCTGGGCTGCCACTGGCTGTCTGAAATAATTAAAAAGAAAAGAAAACATGGCATGGATTTACAAGGGAACTGTAAAGACAAATGAAATCATGCTAACTGCAGGAAAACGGATGGTGCTGGACATAAGGGAAATAAGGTGGCCACCCTAGACAAGAGGGCATCTTCAGGAAGAGGAAGTAGGAGGGTAATGGAATACATTCATCAAAAGCAGAATGGCACCTGACTACGGGACAAAAGGGAACTGGCTGGAGTGGGCCAGGGCACTCAGAGGGTGGGACTCGAAAGCGAATAAAGTGTATGGACATACATGCATGAAAATGTCAATGAAGCAGGTTACTTTCATTAGCTTAAAAAACTGCTAACCTAAAAGAAAGTTCTTGCCACCAGCCTTGAGGAACTGGCCTGTAATTCTAGCTTCTTGGAAGGCTGAGGCAGGACGATTGCCAGGTTCAAGGCTTCTAGGACAGTAGAATGAGTTCAAAACCATCCTGGGCAACTTAGAAAGATCCTGCCTCAAGGTAAGAAGTACCAAGGGGGTTGGATGTAGCTCAGTGGTAGAATACTTGTCTGGTATGTACGAGGCACAGATTCAATTACTACCATCTTAAGAAGCATATATAAATAACGAATGAATAAACAAATATTAGCTCTTCCTTTGATAGTGTGGGAGTCAGGGCCCGCACAGCTCACCTCTAGTCGGCCTTGTTGCATTTTATACACCACCTGGGGGTCCTCCTGTAATATGTTCCCATAGAGCTCTCGGAAATGGGTTACATTGGGCTTCACGATGTTCAAGACTTTTGCTTTCTCCTCACCAATCACCATGCGAAAGTCACCTAGTTAAAACAACCAGAAAATTCAGTCTTCAAGAATTCACACCTTGATCAACCGTGGTCAACCGTGGCTGACTGGAGCAGTGTGGCAGGATCCCTCAGCGGAATACCTTTTCTAAAATGGCCACCACGGTACACAAAGAATTAGAGAGTTTGTCTGGGGAGAAAGAGCCTTTGGCGTTACAGAACCCTGTGTGTCAGCTACCGTCCAGTGATCCTCTCGTGTAAGCTCACTGGCCTGGCCATGGGAGCTCATTTTCCTACTAAGGAAACCTTTGCACGACATGGAAACCCTGCCTGTGGCTAGTTGTTGACTGTTATTTTAGGTCCTCAGCACCCATGTGACAGTTCACAACCAACCACCTGTAACTGCAGATCTGGTGGATTTGACACCATCTCTTGCCTCTGAGAGTGCTGGTGTACTTGATGAGGAGACACACATGCAGGCAAAACACTCATTCACATAGAACAATCTTTAAAAATTTCAAGTGGAAAGAAAGGAAGGATGTAACATTTGCAATGGATTAATTTTGGGCAAATATTTACTCTAAAGGAAAAAGAGCAACTTCTATGTTGTTTAGGCCCAGGTTGGCCTAAACCTTAGCCTTCACCTCTTGATCCCTTGCTCTACAGGGGTTCTAGGCACATGCCAGCAGACCTACTGGAGCAACCTTTGAAGCAAATGAGAAGTGACTGCTCTGCCACTGAGGAGGATCAGCCAGTCCTAGAGGGAAGAAAAGTAAAATGGACAGGCTGGGTGAATGCAAGAGGCTGGTGGGCGGGAGGGTATGCGCCTCAGAGTGGAGCACTTTCCCGGCTAACACAGGGCTCTGGATTACATCCTGGTCTGCCAGGACGAAGAGCTCCCAGGTGCAGTGCCATGAGAGTGATGTGCTGAAGCCCTCGGGAGCAGGATGGGGAGAGAATCTGTCACTTAAGAGGTCACTTCTGTGACAATGATATCAGAGCCCATATTCCCTTTGCCAATTTCTTTCCTTGGAGAGAGAAGGATTCTAAGAGGCTATAGCCTAACAGTGGAATTTCCTTGAGTAAACTGTTGGCTTGTTAGGGAACAGTAAAATTACAAAGCTGTCTGCAAGAGAATGAGTGTGGCGTGACCCCTCCCAGACTCATGTTGGGGGTGTAGTCTCTACTATGAGGAAAGGGGGTGGAAACTATCTGACCGTGCGTGGTCTTTGGAGAGACCAAGATTAGACCAGGCCCTCATGGTAGAGTCTCCAGGACTGGGTACGGGTGGCCTCAGAAGAACACTGAGCAGGTAACAGTTATACACTTGCTCTTATCCCATGTGCCATCTTGGCACACTGCCAGCAAGAAAGTCACCAGGTGAGGCCTTATGACCTTGGCCAGAACAGGAAGCCCAACCTTCCTTCCTTAGTAACTGCCCAGTCTGTGGTACTGTACTACCAGAACAGAAAACACACTAAGCCAATGCCTGATAGCATGTACTGCAGCGAGGAATAAGACACACTGGCATTTTAAGCATCAAAGGGCCAACTTACACTATAGTATGATGGACCCGCAGCTAAGGAGGGCGAGCCTTCCTCGGAAAGACAGCCTTCTAAAGAGCCTGTGGCAGCTGACCTTGGTACAGACCAAGCCTGCCTAGTCAAGTCTCATAAGCTGCCTACACCTAGGTGTGTTTGCTTTTTCATTGCTATTTACAGGGGAAGTGAGCTACACAGGAAATGCCAAGGGACACTGCTAATGAGAGTGTCAAGAAATGGGTTGTTTCAATACTGCTGTTGATACCACGATCTGCCCAAATCCTTCTGGAAAGCAGTCAGGCAGTAAGCCCATCCCTGGAGAGTAAGTCTGAAGATACCAGCAGTGGAGATTAGGCAATGGTATCTATTGAGTACCTGGCAAGTAGTGGTGCCATTCCAATGCTTGTGCTCTCTCATCTATAGCGCATCTCCTCGGCAGAGAATATTCAATTCCCATGGGGTATGCATAGCAACAAAAGATGTAAAGATTAGGTCATGTGCCTGAGATTTTCCATGTTAATTTTTCCAAATTAATGTGCTACTTGTAACATACAAAAAACAAAACAAAAAGACCAACAGCAACAACAAAAAAAAAAAACCCTGTTTATTAGACAGAGTATAGTTCAGTGGCTAAATGTTTGCCTAACTCACACAGGTCCTAAGGATTGAGGGATGATTCTCCCACCCCCATACAGAAGCCCACATGGTGAATGCTTAGTTTCAGCTAGTGGTGCTACTGAGATGGGCCTGGATTGTAATGGTGCTAACATCATGAATGGGTTATTCTACTCAAGGGCTCACACGTCAATGGACTATTCAAGAGGCATGTCTTGAAGGGCATATCTTGTCTCTCTGATTCCTGGTTGCCATGAAGCTTTCCCTCACCATGACTTCCTTCAATGCTGCTGCCTAACCATAGGCCTAAAAGCAGCGGAGCAAGCTGACCACGGACAGAAACCTCTACAGCCATGAGCCAAGATATTTCTTCCTATCTTTGCTTATTTTGCCTCATTAATGAAAAGCAAAAGTTCACTTGTTCAATCCTCAGTTCCCCCAGAAAAGCTGCACTATGATGGTTCACCCGTGCTCTACCATGTATACTACCTCTAAAGCATAGTCCTCTTACATAGCAAGACAGAAAATTATAATTGGTAGAAAATTAGTTAAAACAAAAAACAAAACAAACACACAAACAAAAACCGTAAGACAAGGGTCTGGCAAAGACAGCCACTTGGTGGCTCACAACTGTCTGGAACTCCAGTCCAAGAGGATCTGACATCCTCTTCTGGCCTACATAGACACCAGGTACGCACACAGCACACACATACATGCAGGCAAACACTCAGTATACACATAAAATTTTAAAAAACTTAAAACACACACACACACACACACACAACGGTATGATCTACACTGAAGGGTGGCAGTGGCAGAGTGCTTACGTACAATCATCAAGGCCCTGGTTTCTATCCTTGGCACCACATATGCACACAAGGATGTTCAATTGTTTAATTATGTCCCTGTGTGTACATGCACACACACATGCCATAGCATGCATGTGGAGGGCAGAGGGTTATTTTTGGAAGTTGGTAGGGCTTTCTTGTTTCTGCACACCAGGTCACTGGGGTCACAGATGCAGGACAACCTATCTGGCATTTTTAAAGGGTTTCAGGGATGGACTAAGGTTGCCGGGCTCTTGAGGCAAGTGCTTTAACCAGTAAGACCTCACTACCCTGTAACAGAGCATGCACACAGGCTTACATGTACTTTCTCATGTAGTGTCAAAGCTCTACGAAGCAGGTGCTATTACCATTCCAAGTTAGACAGGTGAGGGGACTGGGGTGCTGAGAAAACGTTCCTCTCAGTACCAGGGTACCTACGGCTGAGGCAACTATTTCTCTCCACTCTGTAATCTCCCTTACTTCTGCAATGATGAAATATTCCAACATCTTAAAATGCACAGGACAAACAAGTGTAATAATTTGTCAAGGATGAATGGAATGATGGTTAGGTTAGAGTCCAAGTGTGTAAACCTTATTAAACCTTTCTTATGTGTGTGGGCACATACATGGTCATGCATGTGGAGTCTGACTGGCTAATTCAACTGCTCTCTAATTTATTTACTGAGGCAGGGTCTCTCACTGTACCTGGAGCTTACCAGTTCCAGAGAGTTCAGCTTGTCAGTTATCCTGGGAATGGTGGGGATGCCATTTGTGCTTCCCAAATGTTGGGATTCCAGGCAGCTACCACCACACATGCCTGTCTTTTTATAGATGTGTTTTGAGGATCCAAACTCTGGTCCTAATGCTTGCTCAGCAAGCACTTTACCCACTGAGCCATCTCAGCTAACTTCTTTATGCTTTTATGACAATAAAGCAATGACAAAACATACCAGAGCTGAAAAGATGGCTCAGTGGTTAAGAATACTGGCTGCATTTCCAGAAGACCTGGGTTCCATTCCTATAATCCACATGATGACTCACAACTATCTGTAATACCAATCCCAGGTAATCCAATGCCCTCTTCTGGCCTTCAAGGGCACTGCAGACATGTGGTATACAGATATACAGGGAGGCAAACACCTATACACATAAAACATGAAAAACAAATACAAAGACAAACATTTAATATAAAATACGAAACTGGACTCTCAATCAGCATAGGACTGAAATGTCACCAGACTCTGAGTCGGAGTCTAAGAAGGCAGACCCTGATTGTAAGACCAGCTTGTGTCATCCCCTCCCTGTCTATAGGACCTGCAAACTCAAGTTCTTATGTCTGAGGCAGTTACTTTATAATAATAGAAGGACTGTACTTGACCAAAATGTAGAAGCAAGCTAACCCAAATCCTCCCACAAAGTGACAGTTGTGATTAAAGACTTCAGGAAACACTTGGGACTCTTGGCGACTTGTAAGCTGACTGGTGCAGGCCAGGTGCACTGACAGTCACATGCTGAGCCTAATTCTCCCACTGTAGTGCAGCAACCTCAGGAGGAGGGGAGAGAAATTGCGGTTTCTCATTTCATCACAACAGAAGGAGCAAGACAATGGGCACGGCATGAACCACGTATGATGGTTAAAAGAGTTTATGTCCAAAAATTCCTTTGCAACCAAACACAGGGGACGAAAAAAACAGACTATTGCTTTTTATTTTGTATCTTTGCTGATGGGTTTTAACCCTTGGCTGTTCTACCCAGACAGCTGCCAGGATAAGCCACAGAGGGAAAATTTTTCTTTTGACTTTGACAGGAGTTGAACTCAGAGGCTTGGAAACCATGTGTAGATGGCCAGCTGTGATTCAGACATACTCAACAGGGAGGGACAGGAACTACTGTACCATACAGATTCTGGCGTTCAGACAGGCAATTCTCCATGGTGATAGGAGTCAAGTTACTTAATCTTCCTGAATAGAAAGAGCTCAAGTTCTAGGTTAGCCTGGGCTACACAGTGAGGCTATACTACCTCAAAACAAACAAACATACAATCTCCACAAGT